TAATACCTTTTTTCTGTACTAGATTGAAACTATCCTTAGCACAGGAGCTGTGCGTGACTAATTCAGTGATGTTTTTTCAGCATCTAGCAAGGTTGTGTCTAGCATGAGGGAACCTCATCAATGTCAGTCATGAATGAATTCATGAATACTACATGGTAGTAAGTTAACAGTTGACTGAGGTTAGTATTAGATACATGTAAAATAACGGCTGATCCCTTTGCAGAAGTCTCATGTAAGATGGGAAGAAATTGTCAGTCAGACATGGATTACCTATATTTATTTATAAAGATGTGGATCTTAAACCCAACATAAATCTCAATGTAAAAGTTTTCATGCTAGTGTCAATAGAATGTATCCTTTTTATAGTCAGAAGAATGGTTGCATATTTTATTATATTTTAAAGAAAACTTCAATCCCGTTTTTATTTTATTTTATTTTTTTTGTTTTTGTCCGGTACCAGGAACCGAACTCACGACCTTGAGCTTGCCAGGCAGGTGCTTTGCCACTGAGCTAAATCCCCAGCCCCTTAAATGGTTTATTTATTTATTTATTTATTTAGGTACTGGGAATCAAACTCAGGACCTTGAGCTTTCCAGGCAGGCGCTTGTGCCACTGAGCTATATCCCCAGCTTCAATCCCGTTTTTAAATCTCTTCCCCTGCCATGTTCATCATCTTCTTGAAATAAGGAAGAGAAGTCTTGAAATGAAGAAAATAAGTCTTCTCACGGAGATTTACTTTATCTCATGAAAAAACTATAGTAGTAATGAGGAAAAAAGATGCTGTGCAAATATCTAATAAACATTTTTTGAATGCATACACATTTAATGCATATTTTAAACATATGTGCATGTGATATTTGTATATATGTTGTACCTCTTAGGCATTCATTGATCTTACCATAATGACAAATCGTTTAGGAAGCTTTACCGTTGTACTGATGTGTGTATCACATACATACACGCAGATAGACACACATACATACAAATATGTGTGTTTTATAGTTACCGTTAATTCCTGTGGTTCTTATTTGTTTATAATATTGTGTTCATATCACTGTGTAGTTCTTACCATCCTACTCTTAATGTAGAATCTGTTTTTCCCCATGTTCAAGGCAGATAAAATGTCCTGAACATTTTGTATTTCTAGCATTTAGCACAGATAGTGGTAGTGGAGTAACTCCTTGAAGACACAGTTTTGCTTTCAGATGTTCTAAAAGGGATTTAATATTAAGATAGTTATGCAAGTGTAAATGACATTATGGACTTAGTTGTAAATTCAATTAGGTAACATCAAACAACAATCTATTGTATATATGTGTATATAAATATTTAAATAAATAGTGTAATGAAACCACCTTGGATTTTAAAGTCTTATGGGCTAACTTAATGTCTTCATTTGCCATTTACTGTGTGAACTTGGACAAAATCACTTCAACTGTGAAAAAAGTAATAACTTTTTATAGTTACAAAAGTTAAATGAAATAATATGCAAACTCTTCTAAAGTATAATGAATATAGTAGGCAGTCAAATGTTCACAGGTTAATCATTTGCAAAGATTTAAAAATTATAGTTACACTATAAATTTCATAGTTCATAACAATATCATTCCCTAAAAGTACTGGAAAATATCTATTGTGGCTTTTAAGTACCTTTCATATCACTTTGAAATCATCTGAAATCAGCAGAAAACTTCTCTCACATGATAAATATTATATTTATATTTGATAAATAGGAGAAAATATGCCTCCTTAAAATTCGATCTATTTGTGCATAGTGATGAACATAAGTGAGAATATTTTTCAGCTACTTTGAAATATTCAACTGCCCAGGGACAAGGCATGGATGATGTTTTTGAAAGCAATAAATATTTCAGCTTCATATTTCGGCCTTTTTTCTCTATTCCTTTGATCTGGCTTTGGTTTACTTATCATTCTGCTTGAATCACTTCACACGGTCTTTCTCTCCCCAGTAAGAAGTAATCCTGTGCTTTTTCCAAAAGATTTAGGTTTTTGTCATTTTAGAGGAAGAATGTGTATTTCCTTTTTATTTATAACACTCTAAAATAAAATGTATTAGTGAGTACACATATAAGCTTTGCGTCTATGGTATATAATATTCATGGAAGTTTTAATCAGTAGCTTCTTAAATACCAGAAATATAAGAGAAACAACATTAGATATGGGAATTTAAAGAATATAAAGATTTTAAGGGCATTTTCCTTCACTATACATCATGGCTAGTTTACTTTTAAAGATCATTTTCTCAAGATTTTGTGATTTGGACACAAAAATGAATTGCTTTTCAATTGGCAGAGCCAGAGTTCAGTTAATTTATGTGTGAACCCATGTTTTAGGATTTAGTACAACACAAAATTATTTAAAACTGTTTAAATCTTTTTATTAAATTTACTTACTAGATTTAGTTTCTACTTTATACACAAATGTGATCTTCTGAGATTGGTTCTTATACAGACTCTCCCTGCCTTTTTATATTCTTTGTATTTCAGTAGCCCTTACAGTGTGTCACAGAATTTAATACTGCAATACTGCACTAGTATTTGATTTTTTCCTTGCATTTGTATCTTTCTCTTTAGTCAGACTGGTAGTTTCTGCAAGATAGGAACCATTTCATCTATTCCTTTTCCATTTCCTTTATTATTTATCAGATCTCAAAATTATCTTCCAGTGCCCTTGTTTTAATTTCTGGATCACAGCTGAGCTACTGAGAATGAAGCCTGGGAAGCTCATGTCAGAACCAGTTATTTTGGGTCATAATTCAAATTCAGTTGACTTCAAATCATTTATGGTAAAATCCATATCTTCTTAAGAGGCTTTTGAATGCTTGAAGATTCTTCATTCATATTCATAACTAAGATGCTTCAACCAATCATGGTTCTTTAAGACTAAGTGAACCTAAATTATTAGATCCTTATTAGAAGATAGGCTTATTAGAAGAGATCCTTCTGTAGGACTTCTGTGTCCGGTTGTTGTAACTCTTTTGAGCATTTTCATTAGTAGCAGAGAAAAACTTCTCATCGATTTAGTCCTGGAATATTATACCTCTGTTGACTCTTACTGTTTGTTTGCCTATAGTCCTGTTGGTCCTTTGAACTAAGATCATGCTTCCTTTGCTTCTGATGCTGAATGCTGTGCTAGCTTTTTTTGGTTTCCTTACTGTTTTTATAGTATACCAGTGCAGTCAATTGTGAGGGGCTTCTATAGGACGGTTGTTTTGATCCACTGCAGTAGGGTTAATATTCCTGTAGTAAAGCTCTGCTGCCTATACCTCCGTCTTTCCCATTACATGGAGGAGAATGAAATCTGTCTGAATCCTATCTTCTAACTTTTTAAGGGCTTGCATACATATAGCTGTTAAACTTGGTACTTATTTTCATTTTTCTCCTATTTACGTTATGCACCATCTTAGAGCAGGTTTCTCTTAGCGCTTGGCTCTTTAGTATAAATTAATACTTAATATGTAGTTGGTTTTAACCAGTATTTGATGTATGAGTCGGGGGAAAGTTGAGTGACTCTGTTATAAGCTGAACTGAGTTTATATTCTTGAGAAAGAAGAAAAATTCAGAATTGCTATGACTCTTTAAAATGTATTTTATTTAAATATGGTGTTATTTATGCTTAGAAATGAATTGAATCTTCCAATATATTATCAAAGTTCTATTTACAAATTATTTGGCTTTTTAAGGTTGAGTGATTACATGATTCAGCCTCCTCTGCAACTCAAGGTAGCACATTGTGTCTATATAGTTTGAATTGTATTAGCACCATGAACACCTGCTATGTGACAGAATTTGACCTACGTCCTTGTTTGAACAATGCAGAAATGTCTGCCAATATCTTTTCCTTGCAAGGTCTTAAAACTTTCTGTACATTTTTACTTTATGTGTGAACTGGCAGGCTCCTGCCTATCTGATAATCTCTGTGATTCCCTAAAGTTTTTAATTACCTTATTCCTCATTATCAGTTGCATAGTTCTTTTCTATGTCCTAATCTTATGAACCTACCTAGGAGAACCAAAATTGTTTTGGTCATAGGAAGTCTTAGTGGCCATTGATTTCCAGAGTTTGGTTCACAGTAGTCTCACATTCTGTACTAACAAGACATAGAGTTTGGTATTTGGGCAGATACAGCTTAGTGTAGGAGGATGTCTGGAGTGAACTAAATAGTCTTTGGCCAATTTTATCGTTGTCCATTTCTCATTCAAACTTACCATTTTTAAGTGTAAAATATATTTTGGAGAAATAATTTGCTCTTTAGGTTGTCTTTAAAACCTGGTAATATTCTTTGGAAGAATTTAAGTACTGAACATTTCAGAAAAACATCAAATATTTGAAGTGGTAACACGATTTGGTTTTTGTTTTTTGTTTTTTTTTTGTTGTTGTTTGTTTTATTTCCGGGACTGGGAATCGAACTCACGACCTTGCACTTGCCAGGCAGGCGCTGTGCCACTGAGCTAAATCCCCAACCCTTTTAATTCTTTTTTTTTTTTTTTAACACGATTTGATCTATAATTTTTTTCTTTGTCTGATTTAAGTTTTACATTTGCCCTAATCGTCAACTCCATTTTTTTTTTTATTTTAGAAATTAAAGGAGGAAAATGCTAACAGACCGACAACATTTTACAAAACAGCATAGGATCAGTACAGACATTACAGAGTTACAAACAGAGTGGTAGGGAATTAACAATGCTTATTGTATTACATATTGATATCTTCAATGTAGTTTCTCATGAAAACACATATAGACATACAAAGCTAATCAACCAATGCCTCACTGACAGTTTCTTTCACCAAGGAAATACAGGACAGTAGAACACCCGTGTTAACTATCCTGCATATACATATATACAAACTTTCTCCTTCTTTCCCTTCTCTTTTCCCATATCCCAGTTATCCTTTACCTATGAGTGCTTTCCTATCAATTCTCAATGTCTAGCATATCTCCTAGATTAAATTAACTCTTTCAGGCTTTACACTAGAGAAACAATGCGGTGCTATCAACTCCAGTTTTGTTCCTCATAGCATCTTAAATACCTTAGATGCTCTTGATAATTGTGTTTGACAAATATAAGTATTGTGAGTTGTATGAGTTTCCTATCACTGCTGTAACAAATTGCTGAAGTATCTTAAAACTATAGAAAGTTATTACTGCGTAGCTCTGGAGGTCCAAAGTTCAACATGAGACTTAAAGGGTGTCATCAGGACTGGCTCCTTCAGGACGTTGTTAGGAAGAAGCCATCCTTGTCTGGTAGCCCTATACACACTGTGTTGACTGCAGTGATCAGTTTGGATGTGTTGTGATGGTTTCAATATTAAGATCAATAATTTAGGCCCATTTACCGGACATTATTTTCTGACTCCTGAACTATGTAATGTTTAGATGTCTATAGTGCTTACCATTTTTTCACAGAAATTTACAGAAGACATAGAAGGGCAAGGAAGAAGAGACTAAAACATAAAACAGTTCACTCACTTACCATGCCTAGTTAAATGTATTATATTTAATATTTCTGACCGATTTAGTCTAATTAATTTAAGCACCACTGGCAGCCAAGAATGTAGATGAAATTGCATTTTAAAAGTCTTCTCCAGCCCAGCCAGAAAGGAATGGACCCTTCTAGCTGTGTTTCAGACTTACTTGAAGTTTTTTGTTTTGTTTTGTTTTTCTTGGAGTTTCCAGTGGAGATGCCAAGCTGGCAGCAAATGAAGTATACTGTAACGTGAAGCCTTATGAATATATGTTGGATCATGGCCATCATTATCAAAAGTGCTCTTATACAAATGTGCCAAAGGAAGATTTTCAAATTACACTTGGCCTTCACATAAAAATGTTAGCTTGTAAAGCTCAAGAAATACTAAATTGCAGTCCATTAGTCCCCTACATTTTATTGTCCTTTTGGGATAATCATGTGCTTCAGAACGTCCTTTAATCTGAGCTGGTTTGTGATTGTGAAAGAATGCAGCTTCTTTTTTTCTTTATCCTTTATATAATCAGATATGGAAAATTTACTGAGTTTTATAAATAAATTAGAGCTAAACAGCAAATTTTCTTTCCACCTTTTTATCTTCGCAGAGGCCCAGCTTTAAGATATTTGAGTGATGCATTTTGACTCACCACCCTAACTAGTACCACAGGAAAATAAAAATGTTCAAAGTTCCTTTTTTTTGCTTGTAGGATGCACTGGTTGGGATGGGTGGGGAAAGGGCACTGTTCTTATGGCAGCAAGGAGCAGACCTTTACTCGTGGTTTTCACTTCAGTGACAGCACCTTATAGAAATTAAAAGGAATCCATTAATATAAAAACTATCTCTGCATTTAAATAAGGATAGAGACTTCATTTATGTTAAGAAGTAAGGTTCCTAATTATTAGTGTTGCTCAACGTGTCAGTCATGGCTTTATTTAGCAAGAACATTGATTTGCATTGAGCAAGACCTTCTTTGTTGTTTAGTTTGACTATTATATTAGTTCAGCTGTGGTGGCAAGACTGGAGATTAGTTGGGACATTTCACACATTGCTCCGTGCTTCCTATTTAATATGAAGTATTGTTTGCTGTTTGTAAATCAGGATAGAAATAGTCAGTTAAAAACAGTGTTCTTTATTGTGCCAGGCTTTAACATTTTAAGATGGTCTCTAAAATATATTGATGGTTAACTTTAAGACGTTGATTTATGTAATCATGACTTACAAAGTTTATGAACTAAATGTGAGGTAAAAATGACATGATGAAGAAAAGATCTTTCCTATTGAAAGTGTTTATATTAAACACTTAATAACGTGAATTACTGAACAAAGTGTAGAAACTGCTGACTTTCAAAATATCCAGAAGGTTAATATTTTAGCCATAATGTAAAAGAAAATGGCCCCCAGTCCAGTTTCTTAGGTGCCCAGGTAATAGTTCCAGTTCCAGTTCCAGTTCCAGTTGCTCCTGTCTGTTAGAAATGGCTGGTCACTATGATGCACATCATATAAACCAGTCCCCAGTGACAAGCCATTCTGCTTCTGTACTTCCTGCTTGCTTATCCCATAAAAGCCCTAGACCACCAGAGATCTGGGCCTAATATTCTGGGAGTGATCCTGATCAGTGCCAAATGACATAAATAAATCTGCCTCCACATCCTGGGTGGTGTTTTGGTGTTTCTGCTTGCCATTGAAATAGGTCATATATTTTTGCAAGATATGTTAGCAGAATTATTTTGTCCAATTAATGGCACATAGTTTAAAAGTATTTAAGCTTTTCAGTTTTCAAATGTTGTCCAATATACTTTCTTTTGTACTTATAGATAGACTGACTAAACAAAGGCAATCTTTTGATAAAGTTTTATCCAAATTATGTAATAGTCTTCCCAAGTGCTCCTACGAGGGCCTCAAAAATTAAAGGGTAACACAGAATAAATGAGTCACTCTAATCTTTGAGTAGCAGAGAGCAGCCCTGGCTCTGCTTTACAACACTTTGTAGTCTTCTCCCCAGAGCCTGCCCTCAGAAGAGCATTCCCAGAGCCCTGAGTCAGTTGAAACCACAATATCAGAATACATCCATTTGTCAAATGCTTGTCTAGATCATGGTAGCCAATACAACTTACATAACTTTATGTTGTTCCCGTATACTGTTCTGATACTCAAATACAGGCTGAATGAAAATGCACCAGAGCGTGGTCGCGCACGCCTGTAATCCCAGCACTTGGGAGGCTGAGGCAGGAGGATTCTTGTGAGTTTGAGACCAACCTGGGCCACAAAATGAGCTCAAGGCCAGCCTGAACTGCAGAGCGAGACCCTGTTTCAAAAAAAAGGACAAAAAAAAAATTCTCTGTAGCCATCAGAGTGTCTTTTATGTAGTGATTTCCCTGGAATAGTTTTCACATGATATCGAGGAGTTTTTTTGTTTGTTTGGTTTTTTGAGACAGTCTCACTATGTAGTTCAGGCTGGCCTTGAACTCACTATGTAGCCCAGACTGGCCTCAAACTTGGGGCAATCCTCCTGCCTCAGCCCCCCAAGTGCTGGGATTACAGGTGTGTGCCACCACACCCGATGAAATCCAATTTTTAATCACCATTAATCACCATTAGTTCTATGAACTAATATAAAGTGGCGAAAAAGTATCTTCAGAGGATTATGGCCTCTGGAACTTAGCAATGATAATAATATTATCATTATTAACAATATTATTAGCTAATACTATTAGCAATAATATTAGTAATATTAAGATTTTGGAACTTAGCAGTCAGTTAACATTGAAGACATTTTGTTTTAACAATATGTAAGACAACTAGTAGATCATAAGATATTCAGGTTCTCTTCCATTAAAATGGATGACTTAAAAGCTTTCAGAGAGTTCTAGAAGCCTGAGCCTGTCGCTGTAAAGTGCAGTAAGTTGGAACTGTGCCTTACTTGCATCCTGATCTAGAATAGCTTCATTCTCATGCAGGGCATCAGACACCTGGGGCAGTATTCAATCCTGAAGGTCATGAAGATGGTGATTATGCCTGAAAAACAGGTACACAAAAAAAGAGAGTTTCAGCTATAAAGAAAGATAAACTCGAGACTTTTATAGGCAAATGGGTGCAACTAGAGACCATACTCAGAAGTGAAATAAATCAGACCCGCATGTGTAAACATCATATTGTCTCCCTAGTGTAAGAACCTGAAAGAGTAAATAAAATCTGAAAGGCACAGTAGATATTGTGAAAGGGAAAAAATTGCTCAAAAAGAAAGAACAATTGGGAAGAGGGAAAGGAGAAAAGAAAGAAAAAAAAAAGGGAAAATATATATATACAAAGTAGCTAAGATCATTGTCCTACTGATTTCTCTTAATTTATTGAAAGGAACAGCTAATGCTTAATTTTTGGACCAATTTTGCATGCTTATATCTGGCGATCTGAACAACTACTTTGAAGACAACAGTATGCAATATAACAGCCATTGGTGAATTCCTGCCATCTTGTTTTTTGAAATTCTGTATGGTTTCTAATGGTTTTTTATTATTTTTATTCTCTTTAAAATAAAAAAAATAAAAAGAAGAGGGTTTTAGTTTGCTGAGAGTTTCAACTTGGTGAGGAGAAAGTTTGATATTTTGGTTATTTTATATTACATATATGGTCTTAAAGGAAAACCTAGAAGTTACATATCTTAGAGCAATTTTTAAATACAGATCTGAACAACGCCAAAAAGCTCATGTTATTTTTTGCCCATCTTTTAAAAGACAGTAGCATCATGGTTTCCTAATGTCGTTTCATGTCATTATGATACTTTTCTAAAATTGGCTTTGGACAAATGAAACTACTCCATCTATCAGTATCCTTCAGTGTTAGTAGTAAGATGATGTTATTTGTGTATATAGGGTATATATGTGTATGTATATGTGTGACCTGTGTATGTATGTATATGCACGTGTAGTGTAGTGTTGCACTCAGAGAAGGTGGGCCAGGTTAATGTGATTTACGGCATCCAAAAAATACGAACAGCATAGTGTGGGGACCAACGACAGAAGCCTAAAAACCGATTGCCAGTGCTAGAATCCTGGCTGGACGCCTGCCTGGCAAGCGCAAGGTCATGAGTTCGATTCCTGGTACCGGAAAAAATCCCAAAAAAAACCCCAAACAAACAAACAAACAAACAAACAAAAAATCCTGGCTGGAACAGTCAGTAAGGGCGTCACCCTGAATATGTGTCCAAACCCCATTTTGCTGTTCTATAAAAGCAAAGATAGAATAAACTTTTTTGCAGGTTTATGGAGAAAATAAGGGAGAAAAGATGCATAACAGTACTTTGCTTAGTGCCTAGCACCTAGTCAGAACTCAGAATTCATTATTAGGAACTTGTGTGCCTTTATAGCCCCAAGCCTTTATCTTTTCTTCTATTAGCATGCAAAAGTTTGTTTTGTTCTTGTCTGGCCCTTTTGACTAAATGGTGTCAGTTTGAGGTTGGAGAGGTGAGACGGTTAGTAGTTCTGTTAGGCAAGTCTACTGGAGACAGCAGAGCAGTTCTAGGACACCATGTTGCCTCTATTGCTTTGACCACCGGCAGATCAACTGCTGGTAGACAGGTGTCTTTCACTGATTCACTGTTTTGTTTTTTTTTTTTAATTGTGATCTAATTCACACATCATAAGCTTCACTGTACAGTTTGGAGCATTTAGTATATTTGAAAGAATTTGCAACCATTATCACTAATTCCAAATCATGCCCATTACTCAAAAAGAAACCCCTTATTCATTTACAACCACACCCCAGCCCTTTACCTTGGTCCCTAGCAACAACACATCTACTTTCTATCTTCATATTCACATAAATTAAATCATAAATATGTTACCTTCTATGTTTGGCTTCTTTCTCTTACCTTAATGTTTTCAAACTTTATGTTGAAGTGTATAGCAGGACTACATTCCTTTTTAAGGCTGAATAATATTCCATTGTATGGATATACCACCCGTTTTGTTTATCTGTTCATTAGTTGATGGAAACACATTATTTTATAATTTTGTTTTTAGGGAAACCTTTGAAAGTAGTCATGTCCTCAACAGTACATAATGTATATATACCCTTTTTTCCATAGATAAATTAGTTTATTGCCAACTTTTTAAAGGAAAATTTTACAGGATTTGGATAAGAAAATATCAGTCTGAATTTCATTTTAGAGATGCTAAATGTTTTTCTTTTGCTGAAGCCCAGTTCTTTTGTATTTTATCTCTGAAGCTTTTCTGAACTTTCCTAGGGAAAAAGAGGAGCAGCTCACTCGTGTGACTGAAGTTCAGAGGTTGCAGGCCCAGCAGGCAGATGCTGCTCTAGAAGAATTTAAGCGGCAGGTGGAACTGAACTCAGAAAAGGTCTACGCTGAAATGAAAGAACAGGTAAGAGGCAGCCACACTGTCCTTTGTGACAGTCAGTCTCTCAGTAGGAAAGTACGTTCTCATCTTCAGTGAGATAGAAATATTCCACTTTCTTTAAAAGAAGCTATCAAAATTAGCCATACAGTTGGGTCAGAGATTCAGAATGAGAAGGGATATTACCCCTTGATTTAATGGCAGAACGATTACTTAAAAGATCTTTCTACAGGCTGGGGGTATAGCTCAGTGTCAAGAGTGCGTGCTGAGCATGTGTGAGGACCTGGGTTTGATCTCCAGGACTACAAAAACAAAAAGCAAACGAAAAAGTCTCATACAAATGTAGTAATAGCAAGAATACTATCTCTTCCGGGAGGATGAATCTGTAGAAAAAAAACCTCTACTACCAATCAAATTGTTTCTGTACAGTGAGGGCTACAGTTGACCATCTTTGGTTCTGTATGTTCCGTGAAATAGTATTTTATTGATAATTTACAGAAAGTTATTTTCAACTTGCAGTTCAGGAGGATAGAAACTGCCTGTAATTCTTGTATCAATTAAGAAGTGTTTTGTTTTGACAGAGAATTTTTAAAATTATAAAGAAAGGAATTATTACAAACACATGTTCATTGAGAATCAACAATTGCTAATATTCTGTTTATACAAACTAAAATGTTTAAATGTAAGTGGAATTTTTCTATTCATGTCTATCATGTTCTTATCTTCTCACCATCTCTGGTGAGAAGAAAAAACTACTAAAATTAATTCTGTATGATTATTTCAGTATAGTTTATACTTTTATATACACATAATCATGTATGTGCATATATAGAACATATCATTTTATTACTTAGTAAAATACAATATTATTATATTTTCACTACATATATAATGTCCATATATGGTGTCCATATATAAAGTGTATATTATGTGATAAGTACTTATAATTGCTTTGTTTTTCTATTTTTAAAAATGAAATACAGGGGCTGGGGATTTAGCTCAGCACAAGGTTGTGAGTTCGGTTCCTGGTACCGGAGAAAAACCAAAACCAAAAAAAAAAAAAAAAAAGAAATACAGATCTTATATATTGTTCTTGTTTGCTTATTTGTATTTACTATTTTGTGTCAGTGCTTGAATTACCATATTGGTTTTCCACAATCCTTTTAATGTTAAATATGAATATAATTATATTTTAGTTATTAGCTCCCTTTCTCAAGTATATTTAGATTATTTTCAAAATCGAGGTTGCAAAGAATAGCACAGTTCTTCCTGTAATTTAATTTTCAGTTTTAGTTATCTTCTTTAGGAGTTCCAAACACATTGGTGGTAGAAATGTCTTTAAGGAAGGTTTTATGTTTTGCTTTGAGCTAGCCTCATAGGGTTTAGGGTTTGCAGTTTTTCTGTTACTTTCTTAGTTCTGATTTCTGCTCGTACTAATTTGTGGGGATCTGGGCCCTAAGCGTGGGGTCTGGGGTCTCTTTCCCTCTGTTTTTTACTTGTTGTTAGAGGCAAAAGCTGGATTCCTGCTGAGTCTGTGCAGGAAAGCAGAGCCTTTCCTTCCTGCTCCTTGGACGTGTACCTCTTCCCGGCCCCCTGCCGTGATCAGAGCTAGGCCCTAGGATATATATCTGATCCAAATATTCCATGGAGCTGATAGAAGATCGCCAATAGGCTTGAAAGTAACGGAATAGAGAACATACTGAAGGAGAAAGCCCCAGGCAAAAATTTTGAAGTACGCTGTTAAGAATTTTAGGCTAAAAATTAGACATTTGAAATTGCTGTGGCTAATAATGCAACTTTCTGAGAAAAGTGGGCTTCGTGACAGTCATCTTGGACTCATTAAGGCACTTCTGGGGCTGATGCTTTAATAACAACAGGCTATGGAATTCATGGATAGACAAGGAGAATAGACAGGCAAATTAGGTGCAACCTGTGAGAACATTCTGTAGAAGGAAAAGGTTTCTGTATTTAACACAGACTAAAAGCATACTTCTAAAGAGAGCTACTGTAGAAGTCAGAAAAAAAAATCAGAATGGCAGTATGTTTAAAAAAGCCACATGTCAAGTAAAAATGAATTCAGTAAAATTTGAATACCTCCTAGTAAAGAATTGAACCTTAAGAATAAAATATCCCGGAAGTTTCTAGGTAGGGTGATACTGGCAAAGAAAGTACAAAAGCAATACAGTGGTGCTGCACAGTTTTGAAAGAGAAAAGTTGTTACTCAAAAAATTGTTACTCAACTTTATATATAAAGTAAAGCATTTTCTTATGTACAAGAGCTCCAGTACTGCATACCATTTTTTTTCTGGAAAGTTACAAAACGTGATTGAAAACTTTGATGAATATTTGAAGTTTTTTTTTAAAAAAAACAATATAACACAGTAAAAGACACATTGCCAAAAATACAGTGACTGTTAATTTTGTGAAGTATTAGTAAAAGACAAATTGCCATTAATGCCTCTCAAAATATACCCTGAACACATTTATCCCATTGAAGCAGTTCAAGAAGTCCTCTTTCATTAGTGTCATTGGCTCTGCGGTGGTGGCTGCCTTGATGTCCTGAACTGATTTCAAACATTCACCTTCCACAATCATTTTGACTTTGGATAAGAGCTGAAAGTTGCGTGGTGCCAGACCCTGAGATGAAAGTGGAGGAGAGCACACTCTGATGCTTTTGTATGCCTTCTTTTCCATGATGGCACTCAGCTGTAGCTTTCACCGTATTTTCCACCACATTTTTTAAAGATACTCATGAAAGAGCACTTCCAGAACTGCTTCACAAAGTGGCACGAATGACAGGATAAGTGTGTATGAAGTGAAGAGGAGTATCTTGAGGGTGATTGAAGGCAATGTGTGTTTTAGCACTATTAAATTTTTTAAATGTCAATATTCATCACATATTTTAATGATATATTGTAGATGAGCACCTCAAACAATTCAGAGACAAAACACAAGATTTCCCACACATGGGGGTACCATCATATAAAAAGATGAGAAGAGAATAAACAAATTAAATAATTGTGAAAAATTTCCTTGTAAAATACAATGCTCAAATTGATTGATTCCTGGAAAAGAAAATATGTAAAGAATAAAATACAGATTTAATAATTTTATTCTAAATCTCTGTTACACTACCAAAATCAAGAAGTAGATGGATAGGCCTGAAGGTGTAGCTCAGTAGTGGAGCATCTGCCTAGCATGGGCCCGGTCCTTGAAAACCCAACTGTGGAAACAAAAAAGGGTATCTAAAATTCTGTGTCATGAATATATGAGACTCCTAAGATCTTTAAAATTGAGTAAATAAGTTAAAGTAATTTTCAAATGTACAATTTGGTAAAAGAAAAACTAAGACCACTTAAAGTAGTGAGTTACTTTCTAACCAAACAGAAAGGGAAAGACATACAAACCTTATTTGTTTGGTACGGTTGGTATTTGCCTTATTTGGGCATAAGCTTGCAGCTTTGAGCCAGGGAATCACTGAGGGGTTAGCTGCTGTGATTGGCTGAGACTCTTAGTTTATGTTATAGTTAACCGTAAATGGAGACCCTTGGGGCTAGTTTCACTATTTAAGTATGGAGGATAGCTTATGCCAGTTTATTTTGGTTCAACAAAACATTGGCATTAGTAAAATTTAGGAAGACATATATTTACATAAAAACCTTGAGATTCTAGGAAAACTTGAGAGTGGACGCTGCCTAAGAAAGAGAAATTACTAAACATTAATAGGTTAAATTTTTCAAGTATTGATAAATAGATTTACATGCATGAATATGCTCTTTATAAAAGGCACATGTAAAATTAGAGAAAATGATGTTAAATGGATGCTGAAAATTTGTCACTTAAATTCAGAAAAAAGTATGAATAAATTATGGAGATTAGTATGGTGATTTCTCAGGAACTGAAATTAGCAACTCCATATGACCCAGATATCCTTCTCCTAGGTATCTTCTCTAAAGAGCTTAAATCATACTACAGAGATACGTGCATACCACATTTTGTAGCAGCACAACTCATAATAGCTAAATTTTAGAAACAACCTGTATACCCATCAAACATGACTGGATAAAGAAAGTGTGGTATCTACATATAATGGAATACCACTTGCTATAAAGAATGACACATTTGAGACATTTGTAGGAAAATGGATGCACCTATAAAATATAAGGTTGAGTGAAATAAACCAGACACATAAGCTTAAATACAATGTAATGTCTCTCATTTGAGTGAGGCAAAGCACAAAGGAGTGATAAGGGTGGATAAAGGATAGATAGAAAGGGACAAGGGGACAGCGCTCTTGCAATAGGGAAGTGGTTCAAGGGAATGAGGGCGAGGGGTGAGGAGGAGGGCAAGGGGAAGTGAGGAATGAAGACGTGCCAGGTACAGGCACCTGATAACCCCGGTGAATGTAAACACTGTATGCCGTAACAGGAGCTAAGGTGGGTGATATCAACGAGTACAAAAAGGGGGTGGGGGGCCAAAGGAGGAAGGGGAGGGGGAGGGAAGAGGATTAAAAATAAAAGAAATGAGCTGTAATATGTACATGTAACCACTCCCCAAGATTTTAAACTGAATGAATTGCAAACATGTACTAGTAAAATAAGTCTATAAAGAAGGGAAGATATGAAGATAATACTGTCATACAAATTAGAATCAACATAAATCAGTCAGCTCAGGAAAGGGCTATGTTTTTACATATTAAAAGCAAAAGAACCTAACTCAAATGTGAAAAAGTGTTAGGAATACATGGATATATTGACATCGGTATTCAGGGGATGCTTTAATGTATTCTTCTTCATCTTTTATATATGGGGGGTGGGAAACAGCCAGGAAACCCAACAGCTGTACGTCTACTTTCTACCATTTAGAGACAACACATGAAATCTTTACTCTCATGAACAGTTATCCAACTCAGTATACCATAAGGTGAAGCTCAATCTATTTCTCAGAGAAGATATATTTTTACCACAATGCAACAAAACTAGAAATTGAAATTAAATTAAACTTAAAATTGCTACATGGGACATCAC